AGTATTTTATTTACAGTACATGACACAATTAGCTTTTACCAACTAGCTGTGGCTGTACAGCCTCGGTACTAGGTGGCGCGGTACTAATTAGCCTAGTCGCTACCTAAAGCTAGGCACTGAGCTCTCTTTTCATGCTTTAATAGGATACCCTACTAACATACTGTGAGCATGTTTAATAGCTAAAAGTTTATACTCCCAAAGGACCATGTGTATTATTCTTTACTATTTGACTGGTTGGTTCGCCTTGGTGCATAGTGGCGGCTAGCATGGGACCGCAGGTTGTGTAGCCGAGCGAATACTGCAGAACGGGTATTAATTACCTAGCGTTTGCCAGTCATTTTTCTGTGTTCTGGCTTGTTAGGATGTTCAACCGAGCGGTACATTTATACAAATGTACGTTTGCCCACTGACAAAGAAATTATCAGTCTATAATTTTAATGGTAGGTTTATTTGAACAGTGAGAGACAGAAAAACAACAAAAAAATCCTGAAAAACGCATGTCAAAAATGTTATAAATTGATTGCATTTTAGTGAGGGAAATAAGTATTTGACCCCCTCTCAATCAGAAAGATTTCTGGCTCCCAGGTGTCTTTTATACAGGTAACGAGCTGAGATTAGGAGCACACTCTTAAAGGGAGTGCTCCTAATCTTAGCTTGTTACCTGTATAAAAGACACCTGTCCACAGAAACAATCAATCAATCAAATTCCAAACTCTCCACCATGGCCAAGACCAAAGAACTCTCCAAGGATGTCAGGGACAAGATTGTAGACCTACACAAGGCTGGAATGGGCTACAAGACCATCGCCAAGCAGCTTGGTGAGAAGGTGACAACAGTTGGTGTGATTATTCGCAAATGGTGAAACACAAAATAACTGTCAATCTCCCTCGGCCTGGGGCTCCATGCAAGATCTCACCTCGTGGAGTTCCAATGATAATGAGAACGGTGAGGAATCAGCCCAGAACTACACGGAAGGATCTTGTCAATGATGTCAAGGCAGCTGGGACCATAGTCACCAAGAAAACAATTGGTAACACACTACACTGTGAAGGATTGAAATCCTGCAGCGCCCGCTCAAGAGGTCCCCCTGCTCAAGAAAGCACATATACATGCCCGTCTGAAGTTTGCCAATGAACATCTGAATGATTCAGAGGAGAACTGGATGAAAGTGTTGTGGTCAGATGAGACCAAAATCGAGCTCTTTGGCATCAACTCAACTCGCCGTGTTTGGAGGAGGAGGAATGTTGCCTATGACCCCAAGAACACCATCCCCACGGTCAAACATGGAGGTGGAAACATTATGCTTTGGGGGTGTTTTTCTGCTAAGGGGACAGGACAACTTCACCGCATCCAAGGGACGATGGACAAGGCCATGTACCGTCAAATCTTGGGTGAGAACCTCCTTCTCTCAGCCAGGGCATTGAAAATGGGTCGTGGATGGGTATTCCAGCATGACAATGACCCAAAACACACGGCCAAGGCAACAAAGGAGTGGCTCAAGAAGAAGCACATTAAGGTCCTGGAGTGGCCTAGCGAGTCTCCAGACCTTAATCCCATAGAAAATCTGTGGAGGGAGCTGAAGGTTTGAGTTGCCAAACGTCAGCCTCGAAACATTAATGACTTGGAGAAGATCTGCAAAGAGGAGTGGGACAAAATCCCTCCTGAGATGTGTGCAAACCTGGTGGCCAACTACAAGAAACGTCTGACCTCTGTGATTGCCAACAAGGGTTTTGCCACCAAGTACTAAGTCATGTTTTGCAGAGGGGTCAAATACTTATTTCCCTCATTAAAATGCAAATCTATTTATAACAATCTCTCACTGTTCAAATAAAACCTACCATTAAAATTATAGACTGATCATTTCTTTGTCAGTGGCCAAACGTACAAAATCAGCAGGGGATCAAATACTTTTCCCCTCACTGTATGTATATCGGGGGAGGGGGGGGAACATATACCTCCTTTTTTATATATTGTTTTACTATCCTTCAAATATGCATATTGATACATTAGAGAACTGAGGTGGTTCCTTCCAGAATCCCTACCCTATGTGTAAACTTGATTATGTTCGCCCTGGATAGAGCTCGACTTAGGTTCGGTTTAACATGGTAGTATTTTGCTCTAGTCCTGGAGAGGTAGATGCAGCCTTCCAACAGGGGAAAGGCCAGCATAGGGGTCCAAGGTTTTCTTCTGGGTATTTTGTTGTTTTTAGCTGTTTTTTCTTTTCTTTATATTTTATTACTCTGACCTTTCAGCACACTGGCCATGTGATTGTACTAACATTCATTTCTAATTACTATGACTATGCCTAATTCACATAATCTAGGCTCCACTTGCTTTATCAGCTGGAACTTAAAAGGAATTAACCATATGGTCAAGCGTAGCCGAGTGTATGCTCATCTTAAGTCTTTATGTCCGGACATTGTTTTTCTCCAGGAGACCCACCTCTGTTCCAGCGACCATGATAAACTAAAGAGAGGATGGGTAGACCAAATATTTCACTCCAACTTTGGTGCTAAGGCCAGAGGGGCAGCCATCCTTATCAGAAAAGGCACGCCATTTGTCTCCTCCAAAGTAATTTCAGATACTAATGGCAGATATATTATAGTGATAGGGAAATTGTTTAACACACAGGTTATTCTGGCTAACCTCTATGGTCCTAATTGGGATGACGGTAAATTCTTCTCTGACCTTATTGCAACACTTCCCGACCTTAACTCTCATCATTTGATACTGGGCGGAGATTTCAATTGTGTATTGCATCCAAGTCTAAACAGATCCAGACTGAAGCCCAACAATGTAATTTCAAAATCAGGCGCAGTAATCAACTCATTTCTAGAATCCTATAATTTGTCTGATCCACGGAGGAGGAGCAATCCCACTGCTAAACAGTACTGCTTTTTTTCTCCAGTCCACCAGTCATACTCTAGGATTGACTTTTTCCTGCTGGACAATATAATTCTTCCTTTTGTAACTAATAGCCAATATCACAGCATCGTTATCTCAGACCATAGCCCTGTCCAGCTAGATATCCACTTTCCGGACAGTACTGTGTCACAATGCGTGTGGCGACTTGACCCACTACTACTATCCTGTAGTGCCTTTAAAAAATACATATCAACTCACATTGATGTCTTTTTACAGATCAACTGCACCCCTGACGTGTCTCACTCTACAGTGTGGGAGTAGTTAAAAGCATATCTAAGGGGCCAAATTATTTCATACACAGCGTATGACAACAAACAGCGCACTAAATGCTTATCGGAGCCATCTCAACTTATTCTAGATGTAGACAACAGATTTGCCTCTTCTCCGACTCCTGAACTCTACAAAGAGAGACTGCTACACCAATCGGAATTTGACAATCTTTCCACTAAACAAATGGAGCAGCTTCTGTTTAAGTCGAGGCAAACATTTTATGAACACGGAGAGAAAGCTGGCAAGTTGTTATCTCACCAGCTTTGACAATCCGCTGCTAGCAGCACCATACCTGAAATATGTGTTGCAGCTGATTTAACTTATACCAATCCCAAATAAATCAACAATCAATTTAAGCAATTCTACTCTGCTCTTTACTCGTCAGAGGCTCTTCCTGACACATCTCGTATCCATGCATTTCTAGACAATCTGGACATCCCCTGTCTCAATTCAGATGATCAAACCAACATGGATGCCTCAATAAGTGATGATGAAGCTACTCTGGCAATCCAGTCCATGCAGAGCGATAAAGCTCCTGGGCCTGATGGCTCACTATTGAATTTTATAAAGCATTCTCCTCTAAACTATCCCCTATCCTCAGCTCAATGTACAATGAAATCCTTTATAGTCAGAAACTGCCCCAGACACTTACCCAGGCGACCATTTTGGTTTTGCTTAAAAATAACAAGAATCCCCTAGACTGTGGCTCATACCGCCCTATAAGCCTTTTGTGCTATAAAATTCTCACTAAGGTCCTCTTGCACCGTTTAGAGACAGTGATGCCTAATATAATTAACTCTGACCAAACCAGATTTATCTCAGGTAGGCAATCTTTCTATAATATGCGCCGGCTATTTAATGTTCTTTATTTTGCCCACTCAACTCAACAGCCAGAGGTTGTCGTCTCTCTTGATGCTGAAAAGGCTTTCGACCGGGTTGAGTGGGAATATCTATTTACAGTACTAGAGAGATTTGGGTTTGGCCCGTCATTCCTTTCCTGGATTAAGATTTTGTACTCTTTCCCAGTGGCTTCTGTTCGCACCATCAATGTTACCTCCAGCTACTTGCCTCTCCACAGTGGGGCAGTGTTGCTGTTTATCCCCTTTCCTATTTTATATGGCTATTGAGCCTCTTGCTATCGCCCTGCGGGCGGAGGAGAGGATCAAGGGAATACTAAGGGGCGACATAACTCACAAGGTGTCCTTATATGCAGACAATCTTATTTTGTACATATCTAACCCTGTGGAGTCTATACCCTATCTCTTGGACATGCTACAAGGTTCTCTGGTTATAAATTAAACCTAACAAAAAGTGTGCTCCTCCCCATTAATCAGTTAGCAGAAGAAATTGGGTATGCCAATTTCCCATTTAAGGTGGAGCATCAGGTCTTTACTTATTTTGGGATAAAGGACACATGCTCATTTAAGGCTCTGTTTAAACATAACTTCAAAACACTCCTGGAGTGCACTAAGCAGGATTTCATAAGGTGGTCGTCTCTTCCCATTTCATTAGCAGGTCACATTAATTCTGTTAAGATGACTGTACTACCTAGGTTTTTGTACTTATTCCAAATGATTCCCATTTTTCTGCCAAAGTCGATGTTCAAACAACTGGACAGCTACATTTGCAACTTCATTTGAAATAAGTCAAATCCACAAATGAGAAAGGTTTATCTAAAGAGACCTAAGCCCGTAGGCGGGCTGGGCCTTCCCAATTTTTTACACTACTATTGGTCAGCAAATATATCTAAATGTGTTTATTAGGTTTCTACATTTGAAAACAAGAATGGTCCAACTTGGGCCATCATGGAGTTACAGTCAAGTCTTCCAACTTCTCCGGTCTCGCTCCTGTGCTCCCCACTGCCCATGAACCTTGGCAACCATGTTTTGAATCCCATTGTCAAGAACTCCCTTAAAATCTGGTCCCAATTCCGAAATCACTTTAGCCTTAGACAAGTAAGCAGCTTCTCTCAATTAACATCTAATCATCTCTTCCCAGTGTCACAGATTGACACGGCATTCCAGTTCTGGCATAGGAACAGTCTGGTGTTGTTTTGTGACCTATTTGTTGATAACACATTCATCTCATTCGATACTCTGAGGGTTGACTATAATATTCCCAATACCCACTTTTTTAGATACTGTACCTGCAAACTCGCAGCTTTGCCAAAAAGCATTTCCCTTCATTTCCACTCGAGTGCACTAAGTGTCCAGTCAAGAGGTGCTTAGATCTTAACCTGTATCTGGAGGGCACAATCTACAGATTATATGACATAATACAGAACATTAATCTGCCTTCCTTGGCAAATACTAAATCTGCATGGGAGCAAGACATGGGTGGCGAGCTACCCGATGATATATGGCAACAAAGTATTGAGCTTATCCACACCTCATCATTTTGCATAAGGCAGGGGCTCATTCAGTTTAAAGTCTCCTTTACTCAAATGACAGATTGGCAGAAATATACCCAAATGTTGACCTCAAGTGTTTCAGATGCCACCAGAGTCCAGCGACTGTGGGACACATGTTTGGGTCATGTCAATCTTTGAGTGGCTTTTGGGACCCCATTTTTGAGGCATTCTCACATATGTGTAATACAACTGTTAGCCCCAACCCATTCACTGCCATTTTTGGGGTACTTCTCTTAGACCAGAATGCTACCACCAATCGGGCAAATGCGATAGCTCGCCGCCTTGTCCTCTTTCGCTGGAAGTCTGCAAAGCCGCCCTCCTTTATGTAGTGGGTTAAGGAGGTGATGTCATCTCTGCCTCTGGAGAAGGTTAGATACACTGTGCATGGGTCCCGACAAAAGTTCAACTTAACCTGGGCCCCATTAATACAATGCGTGGAGAGCCTGTCTTTTACTTAGTGTAACTTGCATATTTTGGTAAGCAGCCATGTCCGTTCTAGTGGTCATTTGTGCTGATAAGAGTTTTTATTGAACTTTTTCCATTGTTTTTGTTTCTATTACTGTTTGTTTCTGTTTGTTTTTATCCTATTTAAATTACTTTTATAGTATATCCTTGTATGATGCCTGTCACGACTTCCTCCGAAGCTGCCTCCTCTCCTTGTTCGGGCAGGCTTCGGCGTTCGTCGTCACCGGCCTTTTAGCCACTGCCGCTCCTCTTCTCATCATTTCATTTGTTTTGTCTTGTTTTTTACACACACCTGGTTCATATCTCCTTATCAGTCCCTGTATAAGTATTCCCTCTGCCCCCCCATGTCTTTGTATGTGATTGTTTCCATGTAGAGGTGTCGATAGCTCGGTGGAGCATTATGTACTTTATCGCTGGGATATTCACCTGTGTTTCACCTGTGTTTTGTTTTTCCCAGTGCGCCGTTAAGTCGCACTGTAGTGCTGCAAAGCTCCACAGCAGAGATTGGAGTATCTGTCCAAAGGACCACTTTAAGCCGTACACTCCACAGAGCTGGGCTTTACGGAAGAGTGGCCAGAAAAAAGCCAATGCTTAAAGAAAAAAATAAGCAAACACGTTTGTTGTTCGCCAAAAGCCATGTGAGAGACTCCCCGAACATATGGAAGAAGGTACTCTGGTCAGATGAGACTAAAATTTAGCTTTTTGGCCATCAAGGAAAACGCTATGTCTGGCGCAAACCCAACACCTCTCATCACCCCGAGAACAACATCCCCACAGTGAAGCATGGTGGTGGCAGCATCATGCTGTGGGGATGTTTTTCACCGGCAGGGACTGCGAAACTGGTCAGAATTGAAGGAATGTTGGATGGCGCTAAATACAGGGAAATTCTTGAGGGAAACCTGTTTCAGTCTTCCAGAGATTTGAGACTGGGAGGGAGGTTCACCTTCCAGCAGGACAAGGACCCTAAGCATACTGCTAAAGCAACACTCGAGTGGTTTAAAGGGAAACATTTAAATGTCTTGGAATGGCCTAGTCAAAGCCCAGACCTCAATCCAATTAAGAATCTGTGGTATGACTTAAAGAACCCATCCAAATTGAAGGAGCTGGAGCAGTTTTGCCTTGAAGAATGGACAAAAATCCCAGGGGCTGGATGTACCAAGCTTATAGAGACTTGCCACTGTAATTGCTGCCTCTACAAAGGATTGACTTTGGGGGGGGGTGAATAGTTATTTATATTTTTACAGTCACTGTTATCCAGAGCGACTTACAGTTAGTGAGTGCATACATAATTTTTTTTCTTCATACTGGCCCCCCGTGGGAATCGAACCAACAACCCTGGCGTTGCAAGCGCTGTGCTCTACCAACTGAGCTACACAGTTATGCACATTCAAGTGTTCTATTTTTTTGTCTTATTTCTTGTTTGTTTCACAATAAAAAATATTTTGCATCTTCAAAGTGGTAGGCATGTTGTGTAAATCAAATGATACAAACCCCCCCAAAATCAATTTTAATTCCAGGTTGTAAGGCAACAAAATAGGAAAAATGCCAAGGGGGGTGAATACTTTCGCAAGCCACTGTAATAGCACAGTTGGTTAGGAGCCCGTAAAACGGCAGCCATCTCCTCCGGCACCATTATACATACAGTGCCTTGCAAAAGTATTCATCCCCCTTGGCATTTTTCAGATTTTGTTGCATTACAACCTGTAATTTAAATGGATTTTTATGTGGATTTAATGAAATGGACATACACAAAATAGTGCAAATTGGTGAAATGAAAATAAAAAAATTACTTGTTTCAAACAATTCTAAAAAATTTATAACGGAAAAGTGGTGCGTGCATATGTATTCTCCCCCTTTGCTATGAAACCCCTAAATAAGATCTGGTGAAACCAATTACCTTCAGAAGTCACATAATTAGTTAAATAAAGTCCACCTGTGTGCAATCTAAGTGTCACATGATCTCAGTATACATACACCTGTTCTGAAAGGCCCCAGAGTCTGCAACACCACTAAGCAAGGGGCACCACCAAGCAAGCAGCACCATGAAGTCCAAGGAGCTCTCCAAACAGGTCAGGGACAAAGTTGTGGAGAAGTACAGATCAGGGTTGGGTTATAAAAAAATATCAGAAACTTTGAACATCCCACGGAGCACCATTAAATCCATTATTAAAAAATGGAAAGAATATAGCACCACAGCAAATCTGCCAAGAGAGGGCCGCCCACCAAAACTCACGGACCAGGCAAGGAGGGCATTAATCAGAGAGGCAACAAAGAGACCAAAGATAACCCTGAAGGAGCAGCAAAGCTCCACAGCGGAGATTGGAGTATCTGTCCATAGGACCACTTTAAGCCGTATACTCCACAAAGCTGGGCTTTAGGGAAGAGTGGCCAGAAAAAAGCCATTGCTTAAAGAAAGAAATTAGCAAACACGTTTGGTGTTCGCCAAAAGGCATGTGGGAGACTCCCCAAACATATGGAAGAAGGTACTCTGGTCAGATGAGACTAAAATTTAGCTTTTTGGCCATCAAGGAAAACGCTATGTCTGGTGCAAACCCAACACCTCTCATCACTCCGAGAACACCATCCCCACAGTGAAGCATGGTTGTGGCAGCATCATGCTGTGGGGATGTTTTTCATCGACAGGGACTGAGAAACTGGTCAGAATTGAAGGAATGATGGATGGCGCTAAATACAGCGATATTCTTGAGGGAAACCTGTTTAGAGAGAGGGGGAGAGAAGAGAGAGAGAGAGAGAGAGAGAGAGCAGGAGATAGAGAGAGAGAGAGAGAGAGAGAGAGAGATGAGATAGAGAGAGAAGAAGGAGATAGAGCGAGAGAGAGCGAGAGAAGAGAGAGAGAATAGCCCATAGAGATAGATAGAGAGAGAGAGAGAGAAGAGAGAGGCACATCCGGTGAACAGGTCAGGGTTCCATAGCCGCATGCAGAACAGTTGAAACTGGAGCAGCAGCACAACCAGGTGTACTGGGGACAGCCAGGAGTCATCAGGCAAGGTCCTAGGGCTCAGGTCCTCTGGGAGGGGAGAGAGAGAGAGAATTAGAGGGAGCATACTTAAATTCACACAGGACACCAGATAAGACAGGAGAATTACACCAGATATAACAGACTGACCCTAGCCCCCCGGCACATAGACTATTGCAGCATAGATCCTGGAGGCTGAGACAGGGGGTTTCCTGTATGATTTTGGCAGTTTTTCATTTTTAATTTGAATTTTGTACCCTTATTTTACCAGGTAAGTTGACTGAGAACACATTCTGATTTACAGCAACGATGACCTGGCCCCCATACCCCCAAACTTACCTGGTAAAATAAGGGTACAAAATTCAAATTAAAAATAAAAACTGCCAAAATCCTACAGGAAAACCTGCTTCAGTTTGCTTTACACCAGCAACTGGGAGAGGAATTCTACTTTCAGCAGGACAATAACCTACAACACAAGACCAAATCTACACTGGAGTTGCTTACTAAGTGGTCCTCTGTAGCTCAATTGGTAGAGCATGGCGCTTGTAACGCCAGGGTAGTGGGTTCATAAAAATGTATGCACACATGAATGTAAGTCGCTTTGGATAAAAGAGTCTGCTAAATGGCATATTATTATTATTACTAAGAAGACAGTGAATGTTCCTGAGTGGACACTGGACAGTGAATGTTCCTGACTGGTCTTCCATTTTGACATTACATAGTATATTATGTTGAATATTGCTGACAAAAAATGAATATATATATATATTTTAATCCCACTTTGTAACACAATAAAATGTGAAGAAATCCAATGGTCTGAATACTTTTGCAAGGCACTGAATATAATAATATATGCCATTTAGCAGACACTTTTATCCAAAGCGACTTCCAGTCATGAGTGCATACATTTTACGGATGGGGTGGCCCCGGGAATCCAAACCACAATGCATTGCAAGCACCATGCTCTAACAACTGAGCCATACAGGACCCAGCGGGACACCAGTCCTGCTTCAGAGTAATGGAGGACACTTCAATTACATTGATAATGTAATCAGTGCTGTGTGTATATGTGTGTCTTGTATGTTGTAAGGAGGTGCCCCCTTCCACTGTGCCAATGGACTACTCCTGGGCCCGAGTGAGTAATGCCAACCAGTCAGTACCATGCTGGAACGTGTCCCTTGTGAATTAGCTGTGAACCAGAATCTCTGATTGGCTATGTTCAACCGTGTATTTACTGTTGGTGACTGTATGGTGACAGTCTTTCTCTCTCTCCTTCCCTCTGTGATATACAGTGGGGAGAACAAGTATTTGATACACTGCCGATTTTGCAGGCTTTCCTACTTACAAAGCATGTAGAGGTCTGTCATTTTTATCATAGGTACACTTCAACTGTGAGAGACGAAATCTAAAACAAAAATCCAGAAAATCACATTGTATGATTTTTAAGTAATTAATTTGCATTTTATTGCATGACATAAGTATTTGATCACCTACCAACCAGTAAGAATTCCGGCTCTCACAGACCTGTTAGTTTTTCTTTAAGAAGCCCTCCTGTTCTCCACTCATTACCTGTATTAACTGCACCTGTTTGAACTTGTTACATGTATAAAAGACACCTGTCCACACACTCAATCAAACAGACTCCAACCTCTCCAAAATGGCCAAGACCAGAGAGCTGTGTAAGGACATCAGGGATAAAATTGTAGACCTGCACAAGGCTAGGATGGGCTACAGGACAATAGGCAAGCAGCTTGGTGAGAAGGCAACAACTGTTGGTGCAATTATTAGAAAATGGAAGAGGTTCAAGATGACGGTCAATCACCGTCGGTCTGGGGCTCCATGCAAGATCTCACCTCGTGGGGCATCAATGATCATGAGGAAGGTGAGGGATCAGCCCAGAACTACACGGCAGGACCTGGTCAATGACCTGAAGAGAGCTGGGACCACAGTCTCAAAGAAAACCATTAGTAACACACTACGCCGTCATGGATTAAAATCCTGCAGCGCACGCAAGGT